ACTTTAAATACACAAAATATACACTCTTATCAGTACCACATCACACGTATTTACAGGTTTAAATGAAATCTTGTTAGTTATTTTCTTCCCTCATTTTATTTATTTATTTATTTATTTATTTATTTTTCATGTCTCTATTATTAAACACAATTACAGGCATACCCATTTTTAGACAGCATTCTAGCCCGGGCAATAAAGCAACACCCCTGTTCTCTCTCCCTCTTCCTCATTCTTCCTCTCCTTCATTCTTTGTTTTTCTTTTTTTTTTTTATTCTTTCTCTTTCTTTCTTTCTCTCTTTCTTCTTCTAAAAAAAAAAGTGAGGAACAGCTTCCTCCCGAACACTCAAGCTCTTTCCATCAACTCTGCTGGAAAGGAGGGCAACATGGACTCCTAGAACAATTTCTGCCTTCACTCCAGTGCCCTGGACACAAAGGGAGGGCCATAGATGGCCTCCTGGGATCCACCATTTCTCCTCTGACTGCCACAAAGCTCACTGCCAAATCCTGCCAGGGAGGAGATGTGAAGACCACAGCAGACTCCATGGAAGCATCACTGCTGGAGAGGTTCAGCCAAAGCCACTTAATGCTCATTAAATAGGAAACTACTATCAGTCCTGAATAGCCTACCTGGCACTGTTAACACCTTATATTTCTGATGTTGTGGGTTAGTTTGCTTTGGTAACTGAGCCTATGACATTTGGGCTTTTTGAAGTGGTAGTTGCCTTGGCTGGGTTTATGCCCCGGGTTTACCCCATATATTCCCTACTGCGAAGAGTAACTTTGTGGCTCCCTTGGCTTTTACAGACACATTTCCCTCAGACCTGGCTCAGCCTTTCCCTACCCTAGTTTTGCAATACTATGGCATTATGAGCTCAGCACAGATGGACATCCGTAGCACTCAGGAGGATTTTATTTGTTTATTTATTTTATTTATTTTTTGAGACAGAATCCCACTCTGTGACCCAGGCTGGAGTACAGTGGTGGCTCAGCTCACTGCAACCCCCACCTCCTGGTTTCAAGTGATTCATTCTCATGTCTCGGCCTCCTGAGTAGCTGGGACTACAGGCGTGCACCACCATACCTGGCTAATTTTTGCATTTTTAGTAGAGATGGGGTTTTGGCATGTTGGCCAGGCTGGTCTTGGACTCCTGGCCTCAGGCAGTCCACCTGTCTTGGACTCTCAAAGTGCTGGGATTACAGACATGAGCCACCGTGCCCAGCCAGGAAGATTTATGAGACTAAAAATGTAATCTTCTTAATCTGGCACTTACCAATAGAGCACACATGACTCCTAGGACTGAGATACATACCTTCTTTGCATTGGATGATATTGTGTTGGCCATTAAACTTTCCAAATAACTACCGAGGCTAATCCCCTTCACAGTGATGATGGCTTCTTGTGTGAGCATGGTCCTGCAAAAGAGCAAGAAAAGGGGTGACCAGCCCTGAGAGAGAGGAGGGTCTACCCTGCCCTCGCCCTTGGCATTCAATGCGTCAATCCCACAGGAGATTACTCACATTTCTGGGTTCTCTGGATGAGGTATGTACACCAACCTCTCATTAACTGACACCAAATTTGTGAGTGTGATCTTAAAAAAAGAAAAAAAGGTTTAGATTGTATTTCTCTTGCATTGCTTCCCAAACCATCTGCCGTACTCTTCCATCCCAAAATTAGTATTTAGTGGGGCCAGAACAGAAGAAGCATTTAGGCATTGGAGGTACCACCACATTAAGTCCTAGGAAACTACGGCTTTGCTCTTCCTTCTGGCAACTGTCATCTGTCCCACTCCACACGTGAGCAGGGCTGTGGCCTTGAAGGTAGAGTCAAGCTGCCAAAACTATGAGCAGTTGTATTACAGAAAAGGACAAATAGTCCTGTGTGTCCGCACAAGTGAGAGGAAGCTTTTCACCTACCCATGGCAGCCCACGGAACACTGTCTCCTAGGACTGGATAGGACAGACTCTGAATCTACATGGAGACTGCAGGGTTCTTGTCTCCTCCAGTACCACTTCCTGTAAACAGACCGACTCCTTATGTACGTATTTATATTTTCTTTCTCTGACATTTTATTTTTTATTTTATTTTATTTTTATTTTTTTTTGAGATGGAGTTTCATTCTGTCACCAGGCTGGAGTGCAGTGGTATGATCTCAGCTCACTGCAATCTCTGCCTCCCGGGTTCAAGTGATTCCCTTGCTTCAGCCTCTCGAGTAGCTGGGACTATAGGTGCGCCATCATACCTGGCTAAATTTTTTTTGTATTTTAGTAGAGATGGGGTTTCATCATGTTGGCCAGGATGGTGTCGATCTCCTGACCTTGTGATCTGCCCGCCTCGACCTCCCAAAGTGCTGTGATTACAGGAGTGAGCCACCGTGCCCTGCCTCTTTTTTTTTTTTTTTGAGACAGAGTCTTGTTCTGTTGCCCAGGCTGGATAAGGGCTCACTGCAGTCTCAATCTCCAGGTCTCAAGTGATCCTCCCACCTCTGCCTCCTGAGTAGCTAGGTCTACAGGTGCGCACCACCACACCTGGCTAATTTTTAAACTTTTTGTAGAGATGGATATTGCCATGCTGCCCAGGCTGGTATCAGACTCCTGAGCTCAAGCAGTCCTCCCACCTTGGCCTCCCGAAGTGCTGAGACTACAGGCGTGAGCCACTATTTTTCTATCAAAATATATATTTTGCCTATATTTTCTATCTATTTAAACACTGGAGTTCTAGAGCCACACTATCTAACAGAATTTTCTGTGGTAACAGCAATGTCCTATGCATGCTGTCTGATGGGGTAGCCACAAACACATGCTGCTAATGCACACCTGAAGTGTGGCTCATATGACTGAGGAATGAAATTGTTAATTTTTTTTTATCAGAATTAGGTTTTTTTTTTTTTTTGAGATGGAGTTTCACTCTTATTGCCCAGGCTAGAGTGCAATAATGTGATCTTGCTCACTGCAACCTCTGCCTTCTGGGTTCAAGCAACTCTCCTGCCTCAGTCTCCCGAGTAGCCGGGATTACAGGTGTCCGCCACCACGCCCAGCTAATTTTTGTATTTTTAGTAGAGACAAGGTTTCACCATGTTGGCCAGCCTGGTCTTGAACTTCTGACCTCAGGTGATCTGCCCGCCTCGGCCTCCCAAAGTGCTGGGATTACAGGCATGGGCCACTGCACCCAGCCATAATTAGTTTACTATTAAATAGCCACGGGTTGTTGGCAGCTGCCACACTGGACAATGAGTTCTAGAATTGCTTCATTATTTAACCCAATTCACCCTCTTCTCAAAGGGCCAATTATAAAAGACCATGTTTTAAAAAGCTGAAGCAGTGAAAAGCAAATTAACCTTTCTGTAGTGATAAACACTGATTTTATCAGTAATCTCTCACTGAATCCGCCCCCCTCCCACCTGCCTCACTGTCCCAATGCAAATGGTTAGTAGGAAATCTCTCTCCACCTGCTGAGTGCCGAGTTATTAAGAGTTTCATATGTATGGTCATTACATTGAACAGAAATATTTAACAATATCAATTAAAAATAAAACTGATTAGTTGTCATTTTATGTGCAATATTTTATGCAAGTCACTGTGTTTCATAAACCTGACTTCTCTGAGGTTTGTTCTTTTCTTTTTTATACAAGAAATGTGAGACTGAGAAAATGTAAACAGCATCCCCAAGTCGTCGGGCCATCCAGCGGTGGCTTCAGGATGCAAGCACATGTCTGTCTTGCTCCAAACCCCATTTCCTTTCCATCAGACCTCACTGGAGCATAACCTGTTCCTTTTTACATACAACTGAGTTTTCTGGAAGGATAAAGTGGAATTTCATAAGTAAATATTGGTTTTGGGTGCAGAGAGAACAGAATACATTAGTTGTCAGGAATAGCGACAGGGGACCCAGACAGGCTCCTGTGACTTCGTGCAGCCTGGGACAAGGGGCCAATAGACCAGGGGACATTGGCAGAGGTCCAGGTAGTTCATTAAGGAGCTAGGCTCTACCCTGCAGGTGGCTCAGTCTCATGTCAGCACACAGGGATGCACTCACTGCCTTCTACAGAAGGTGCTCCTAGCTGGGCAGAGTGTAGCTGGCCAGCAGCACTGAGCGTCCCTGAGGCTGTTCCCACGGCCACCTGGGAAGCTCACAGGAGCTCCCGAGGCCTCAGGGTGGGGAAGGGGAACCACAGGACCCAGAGTGGCTCCACTTTGTTTCAAACACAGGGCCTCCCACAAGATGCTGAGAAGATGGGGAGCTGCCCAGGTACCGGTTTGGGTACTGGCGCATGGCTGCCTGAATGACCTGCTCCTCAACCGTGTCCCTACCCACTGCGCCCAGCAGCCCTGCCTGCCCCTGGGCCCAGGTCACCCCTCCCTCACCGCAGCACTGCTGGCCGCACCTTCAGCTTCAGGCCAGACACTCCATGGCCCTTTGGGAAAGGGCTGCATACTCAGGATGTGCAAAGCAGGCTTACCTCTCAATTTCCAGACCTGATGGGCCCTACCAGGGCCCTGACCAGAGAGAGGAGCTGCACCGTGGGCCTCCCATTCCTCACTCCCCAGTCTCACCTGGGGAGCCTCTGGTACCTCTCGCCTGGACAATTACCTGCCCAGACTACCGGCCTCCCTGGCTCAGGTCCCAGCATCTCCCCACCCTCTCTCCACAAGGCTGCCAGGGTATTCTTCCCAGCACACAACCTGGCTACCTCGCCTTCCGGCAACAAACGCTCAGTGGCTTCCTCTTACCACAAAAGCGGCCTCCAGCTCCTCCGCCTTCTGTGGTGTTGTCCCTGCCCCTCTCCAGCCTCCTTCCTTCCACACACCTTCCCCTCTTAGTCTCCAACCCACCTGTTTGTGGCTCTCTAAGGCTCAAGGGCACCCACTGCCAGTGTGTCTGGAGAAGACCTGCCAGCCTCCCTGTCACCTACGTTCACGCAGCCCCTTGGGGGGGGGGGGCTCCTGCCTGCTGCCACCTACACGAGTTGTTTAGATGCCCACCGTGTTGTTTAGAGCCAGTCAGGAGGGCATCTCTTTTAATCCTTGCATTCCCCATCCCTAGCACAGTGCTGGGTACCTGGCAGGCTCCTGATGCTGTTGGCAGAACCAGTAAGTAAGTGGTGGCTACAGCCAACCGTGGCACTGGAGACAGAAAAGGGAGGCCAGATGAGGGCACCACTGACTTCAGCCACCATACCCCATTTCTCTATTTGCTGAAAATAAGGATTATTTTATGAAATAAATAATTTTCCTAGTCCATGCATATTCTCCCCAACATGTTCTTTGAATTTGCATTAGGCCAATATACTACTATTTTTTTTTTTTTTTTTGAGTCTCACTCTGTCACCCAGGCTGGAGAGCAATGGCATGGTCTCAGCTCACTGCAACCTCAGCCTCCTGGGTTCAAGCAATTCCTCTGCCTCAGCCTCCCAAGTAGCTGGGACTACAGGTACCTGCCAGCACACCTGGCTAATTTTTACATTTTTAGTGGAGATGGGGTTTCACCATGCTGGCCAGGCTGGTCTCAAACTCCTGACCTCGTGATCTGCCAGCCTCAGCCTCCCAAAATGCTGGGATTACAATCGTGAGACACCAAGCTCGGCCCATACTTTTTTTAATTGAGAGAAGTGACGGAGGAGTGAAGGGGGAAAATAGCTTTAAAAACGCCTGTTGGTGGTGCACACCTGTAGTCCCACCTGCTTGGGAGGCTGAGTCAGGAGAATCACTTGAACCCAGGAGGTTGAGTTTGCAGGGAGCTGAGATCCACTGCACTCCAGCCTGGGTGAGAGAGAGAGAGAGAGAGAGAGAGAGAGAGAGAGACTGACTCTGTCTCAAAAAAAAAAAAAAAAAAAAAAAAAAAAAAAAACTCAAACCAAAAAAAAAAAAAAAAAAAAAAAAAGGAAAAAGCACATTGGAAGGCATCACTTGAGACCAGGAGGTTGAGACCAGCCTGGGCAACATACCGACACCTTGTCTCTACAAAATATTTAAAAAATAGCCAGGTGTGGTGCCACGTGACTGTGGTCCCAACTATTTGGGAGGCTGAGATGGGAGGATCACCTGAGCTCAGGAGTTCGAGGCTGCACTGAGCTATGACCACACCACTGGACTCCAGCCTGGGTGACAGAGCAAGACCCAATCTTTAGAAAAACAAAACAGCCTGCTGGTTGTCGCGACGGTGGTTATCTTGTGGGAGGTACCCAGGGGGTCTCAGAGGCTGGTCAAATTCTGTTGCTTGACCTGCCTGCTAGTTAAGAGGTGTGTTCACTTTGTGACAACTCATCATTGTGTGCATTTTTCTATATACTTATACTTGAATAAAAAGATAAACTGCTAAATGAATTCAGCCTTTCTATTAAAAATAAGCACCACCTAGACAAAGATGTGCTGGAAATAGAATTAAACAAAAGCCTTGCCACCATCCCCCAGACGCAGAGTCCCCTCTCATCTGAGGCCATCGCTTACATTGGTGGAACAAAGTTCCATTTTCTTTTCCACTGGATCCACCACAGAATGTTCTTGGATGTATGTCAAAGTCCTACTGGTTCCCAAAATCTAAAACACAAAGCAAAACTAGCATAGTGGAACGTTAAATATTCTACTTCAGATCACCACTGAACACCATTGTATTTACTAATTAATTCGCTATTCAATAAATGGTATCATGGGATGCAGCTAGGGACAGCGACAAAATCCCTGTGTCCAGGGCACTTCTGCTCCAGCAAGTGAGCCACTGAGCAAAGAAATGCATTCCTCAGAGTGGAGCGCGGGGAGCACTATCCTCCCGGCAAAATAAAACAGGCTGCGGGCAGTGGAGCCCGCAGGCCCCTCTGCTGGGTAAGGTCTGGGCAGAGCCCCAAGGAGGAAGGTGCCACCAGAGTGCTGGGGTGGGGCGTTGGGCTGGGGTCGGCAGGTGCAGGCCCTGCAGCAGGAGCTGGGCTAACCAAGGGGCCTGCGCAGGGGCCAGGGCTTGGACCGCAGGAGGAGGTGAGCTCGTGGCGCCGGGGTTGGGCGAGCGGTGCCCAGATTCCCATTTCCAGTGACCTCCCTGGCTCTGAGGAAGAGTCTGTGGGGGCTGAAACAGGTTGAAGCCTAACCCCCTTCCTGTGGGGGCACCAGGAAGCGTCTGGCTGGGGACAGTGGGATTTAGAGGCGATTAAGCAGGGAGGAGGGTGTGTGGCGGTGCTAATCCAGCATGCCCGGGGCCCGGTGGCAGAGCAGATGGGGATGCCAGATGCCAGGCGGCGCGGGGCAGAGCCTCCTGTGCCCACCCCCTCCATCTCGGGGAAGACCCCCCACTACCCCCCGACCCCGTGCTCCCTGATCTCGGGAAACCACCTCCCCGCCACCCTCCCACCCCCTGATCTCGGGAAAGATCCCTCTACCGCCTCCCCCACCCCGAGCATCCTGATCTCGGGGAAGGCCTCCCACCACTCCCCACAACCCCGCGCCCTCTTGATCTCGGGGAAGACCCCCCCCACCGGCTCCCCGATCTCGGGGAAGACAACCCTACCGACCCCCAACCCCGCCGCGCCCTCCGATCCCCGGGAAAACCCTCCATCGCCCTCCTACCCCGAGCTCTCTGATCTCAGGGAAGACCCCTCGCCGCCCTCCCAACCCGGTGGCAGCCTGAGCAGCCGAGGGCGGGACAAGGGGAGGGGGGAGGAGGGACGCGGGAGAGGGTGGGGGAGGAGGGACGCGGGAGAGGGTGGGGGCGGAAGTGGGGGGGTCAGGCTTGTTGGGAGCCGCAGCCCCAGCCCCGCTCACCGCTCTCACGAGGCCGGGCAGCCCCCACTCGGTGCTGAGCAGGCGCAGGCTGTGCAGGCGGCCGCGGCAGTCCACGCGGCGCTGCAGCACGTCCACGCCCAGCACGCTGGGGTTCATCGGGTTCGGGTACTTGCGCATGGCCGCCTGGATGACGGTGTCCCACGGGTGGCTGCGGGGAGAGCACAGGCGGCGGTGAGCAGGCCCGGGGCCCTGGCCGCAGGGGTAATGGGGAGGCAAAAGCCGCAGCCAGGCCTAGTCTCTTCGCTTCAATGAAAGGCTTGTCCGACAAATCCGAGGAGTCCCGCGAGCCCTCCCGGGCCGCCAGCTCCGCACCTGCACGCCTCGGCACCTGGCTGCCCCACGGTGTTTAACAGAAACACACACCTGCCTCCGCGCCCCCAGAGCGCGCTCTGCTCCCCGCTACTCTCGGGCAACTGAGGATGCACTACTTTGTTCCCACTTCTAATGGTCTATGGCTGAAGCAGCCACACTTCTTTTCTGATTATAAAAAATGTGTTCAAAATTTTGAAAAAGTATGGACATTTTATTTTATTAATTATGTTTTGAGATGGAGTCTCCCTTTGTTGCCCAGGCTGGAGTGCACTGGCACAATCTTGGCTCACTGCAACCTCTGCCTCCTGGGTTCAAGCGCTTCTTCTGCCTCAGCCTCCTGAGTAGCTGGGATTACAGGCACCAGCCACCACGCCCGGCTAGGTTTTTGTTTTGTTTTGTTTTGTTTTTGTATTTTTACAAAACAGAAAAGAAAAAGTACAGACGGGGTTTCACCATGTTGGCCAGGCTGGTCTCGAACTCCTGACCCGCCTAGGCCTCCCAAAATGTTGGGATTACAGGCGTGCACCACCGCACCCGGCTTATAAAGACATTTTAAACAATCTACAATTCCACTCTCCAAGGATCACTGCTGTCAACACTCTGCGCACATTCTCCCCCTTGCCACCACACAAACCTCACATTTCCCCAAGCCGTGCCTGGCTAGGAGGACCGTATAATAATGCAAGAACAGCGATGGCCCGAATGTCACAGCTCTCAGCACCACCTGCTGATGGAGGCTCCCAGCCCTTCCAAGGCCCCCAGTCTCCTTGGGCATCCCAGGAGTGTCCCTTGCAGGACAACACCGCTCCTTCCCTGGCCCTGAGGACTTTCCCCTTGGTTTTTGTTTGTCTGAGACAGGGTCTCATTTATCACCCAGCAGGCAGGAGTGCAGTGCTGCCATCAGGGTCACTGCAGCCTCAACCTCCCAGGCTCAAATGAACCTCCTACCTCAGCCTCCCCTTGCCCCACCTCCAGTGGCTGGGACTATAGGTATGTGCCACCACACCTGAATTTTTTTAAATTAATTAATTTTTTTGAGATGGAGTCTTGCTCTATCGCCCAGGCTGGAGTGCAGTGGCGCGATCTTGGCTCATTGCAACCTCTGCCTCCCGGGTTCAAGTGACTGTCCTGCCTCAGTCTCCCTAGTAGCTGGGATTACAGGTGCCTGCTACCACGCCTGGCTAATTTTTGTATTTTTAGTAGAGATGGCCATGTTGGCCAGGCTGGTCTTGAACTCCTGACCTCGTAATACAACCGCCTCGGTCTCCCAAAGTGCTGGAATTACAGGCATGAGCCACCGCGCCCCACCAATTTTTAATTTTTTTAATTTTTTCAGGTCTCATTATGTTGCCAGATTGGTCTTGAACTCATGGCCTCAAGCAATCTTCCTGCCTTCACCTCCCAAACTGCTAGGATTACAGGAATGAGCCACCATGCTCAGCCTCCCCTTGCTGATGGAGGCTCTCAGCCCTGCCATCAAGAGAGGTCACAAGCTGCCCATTGCTTTCTAGAGCTCTGCACTTGGTTAGGCCTGAAACCTGCAGGGGTCAGACACACGTCTGATGGGAGCCAAGTGAGGGGCCACCACACCTATTCAGCATGGACCTTCCCCCAGACAGCTGAGGGAATGCCAGCAAGTCACTTTATTGCCCTAATGTCCTAATCCATTCTTCCTTCAGGGTGTGCTCTCTAGGAAGCCTCTGCAAGGACAAACATTCTCTGACAAGATCATTTCTTCAGAAGTGCCCAGAGAGGTTTGTCCAGCTTATGTGCAGACACAGCCCAGAGGCAAGACTGGATGTGTGCACACACATCTGCACCATGCACACTCACACACGAGTGCACATACACATGCATACACACATGCAAGCACAGGGACACACATCTTGAAAAATTAAACTGGGATTACATTCAGCATATGAGTTTACCATCCACTTTTTAATAACTGCTGATGAACACTTTCCGATATCATGGAGCCATTTTCAGAAATAGGATTATAAACGGCTGTACATTAGGTCATCTTGTGGCTGTGTATATTTTACCAGTCTTCTATGGTGGCTTATGTTATGTAGATTGCTTTCACTTTTAGATGATAAATCATAACAGTAGTGAACATTTGTGTACATTAGTCTTTCAACACATTATTCCTTAGGATAAAGTTCTAGAAATAAAATTTTCAAATAAAATATGAAAGCTTATGAACATATTGAAGTTTTTATTCCATATTTTGGTCATTTTTTAATATAACTGAGTGATCATTAGTTTACCCTCATCAAACTCTCGTCCTAGGTGAAAGTCAGCAGCAGGGCCCAGAGGAGAAGAGGTCCTGCAGCTCCCTAACCTATGTTCTTTTATCACATTCAGTGGCCTCTAAATTGTCAGGGCCTGGCCTGGAGTCCTCTTTAATGATAGAACACTTGGGTTCAGTTTTTCAAGCCATGCAATTGTGTCACTAAGTTGACACATTCCACTGGTGAACATAAAGGGATGAATGGGATGAAGAAGTCCAAACTGGGTGGTCCTAATCACCATAAGAATTCAGTCAGCTTGGAGTCCTTTCTCCTCTCTGAGGGTTAGGGAAGAACTGTCAGGGACACGGTGGACCCCAGAGCTAGGTAAGGAATGTGAATCTGCAGATACACGGGAAGCAGAAAGGGTCTCAGTTGCCCAGGAGAGCCTTCTCAATGAATAATCTGAAGGCTTTTAAGTTCCTTAGACTGGTTCCCACTGAAGTCATTACTTTAAGCAGAATAGGCTATGCCTTCAAATATCAAGCTTAAAATAATCTAAACATTAAGGATTTTTTGCATTATACTTATCTCAAATAATGTCTCTTTCATATAAAAATCTTGCATCTTAGTGCTGGGTGCAGTGGCTCATGCCTGTAATTCCAGAACTTTGGGAGGCCAAGGTGGGCAGATCACTTGAGGTTAGGAGTTCAAGACCAGCATGGCCAACATGGTGAAACCCTGTCTCTACTAAAAATACAAAAATCAGCTGAGTTTCGTGGCACACGCCTGTAGTCCCAGCTATTCAGGAGCCCGAGGCAGCAGAATTGCTTGAACACAAGAGGCAGAGGTTGCCATGAGCCAAGATCATGCTGCTGTACTGCCTGGGAGACAGAGTGAGATCCTGTCTCAAAACAAAACAAAACAAAGAAATAAAAATTAAAAAAAAAAAGAAAAAAAGATTTAGGCAGGCAGGCGTGGTGGCTCATTCCTGTAACCCCAGCATTTTGGGAGGCCAAGGCAGGAAGTTCACTGTGACCAGGAGCTCAAGACCAGCCTTCGCAACAGAGCAAGATCCCTATGTCAACAAAAAATACCAAAGTTAGCCAGGTGTGGTGGCACACAACTGTAGTCCCAGCTACTCCAGAGGCTGAGATGGGAGGATCACTTAAGCCAAAGAGTTTGAGGCTGCAGTAAGTTGTGATTGCACTATGGCACTCCAGCCTGGGCAACAGTGAGACCGTCTCTAAAAAAAGAAAAGAAAAAAAGATGCAGGCAGCCACAAACAAGATAAACAGCCTGCTACACCCCACCACCAAGTGACCCGAGGCCTCCATCAGCTGCTCCATAGCTTGTGGGCTGCACACCCCGGGGGCTCCAAGACACTTTCAGGCCACAACTGTTGTCACAGTGCTACTGAAATTTGGCCTTTTTTGCTGTATTGACATTTGCACTGTTTCTGCAAAAGCAATGAAAGGACAGAGCCAGCATCTTCCCAGCATCAAGGCAGGGCTCCAAACTGTGCGTAGTCACTGCAGTCCTCAGTGCGGTGCACTGGGAAAACAATGCCAGTTTCTCTTAAGGACATCTGCGATGAAATGGTCAAGCAATTAATTTGATGACTGCTTGACCCCTGAGTACTCTTCTCTTTGATATACTGTGTGGAGGAACAGAAGTGCACCAGAAGCCCCTCTGCTGCTGAGGCCCAAGTCCCTCTGCTGTGGGGTGTCTGGGGGCACTGGCACCTGTTCATTTTGAGGGGGAGCCCCTGTCTCTCTGCTGCTTTCCACTGCCTGCCTCTTGTACTTGAAAGAGCAATCAACTGAAAGAACAATAAACAGACAAACTTTGCTTATTCAGACTTGGGGATCTGGCAGACGACTTCTTAAAAATTAACAAAGTGAGCCTGTGCTTCAAGGAAAACAACTGATAGTATTTGCTGCCAAAGATAAAATTTGAGCTTCAAAGTGATAATTTGGCCGGGCAGGAGGGGCTCATGCCTGTAATCCCAGCACTTTGGGAAGCCAAGGCGTGAGGTCAGGAGTTCGAGACCAGCCTGGCCAACATGGCAAAACCTCACCTCTAGTAAAATACAAAAATTAGCCAGGCATGGTGGCACACCCTTGTAATCCCAGCTACTAGGGAGGCTAAGGCAGGAGAAGTGCTTGAACCTGGGAGGCGGAGGTTGCAGTGAACCAAGATCACACCACTGCACTCTAGCCTGGGTGACAGAGTGAAACCCTGTCTTGGAAAAAAAATATACAAATAAAATAAAGTGATCACTGAAATTTTAGAAAACTTGTATCTGCTACCAGGAGCTGGACGACTGCTCTGTGCTGCATGCTCAATGACAGCCTATATTCCAAACGATATTAAGTCATACTTGGGTTAAAAACTCATTCGTGTACAAGACAGGCCAATGGGTTTGTTGTTGTTTTAAGAGATGCTGTGCGGCTGGCACGGTGGCTCACGCCCGTAATCCCAGCACTTTGGGAGGCTGAGGCAGGTGGATCACAAGGTCAGGAGTTCAAGATCAGCCTGGCCAACATGGTGAAACCCCGTCTCTACTAAAAATACAAAAATTAGCTAGGTGCATGGCAGACAGCTA